ATTATATTGGATGCTCACTTTTGATTTCATTGATCGCTTGAGTTTCAACATAGAACTTTGTACAGTAATTTCATTTGCTATGCTGTATGTAGCACACACACAAAGGCAGGAAATACAATAGAGACAAAAAGGGATTCAAAATGAGGGGGAAAGAATAGGAACAAAGAATGTAGGAAATCACAAAGAGTGAATACATCTGTGCCAGCCATTTAGAACGATTTTCAGCTGTATCACTGATTGCCTCCAGCTGTTGGTTCTTAATATATCAAAGAACTCAGCTAGGAAGCCTACACCTACCTATATATGGCTCAAAGTAACTGTCAAAGATTTCATAAACTGACGACTCCAAGTGTTGTTTTGACCATCACTTACTCTTTTTTTCCAACTTTATCCTATGTCAGTCAGCTAGCATTGCCTGTTGTCAAGAAAGACGATGGCTATGGATGCTCATCGACTGAATTCCCCTGCTTACCTAACACTCGACGACGCGTAACCCCAATATGACTCACCATATTATACCACCAAACATGGGAGATAGAATGCAGACACCTGTGATCATAGACAGCTAACCGGCCTTTTCATATCTTCCACTTCCAATGGCCATATCTCACTTACAGCCAGTCCATTAGGGAGATCGAAGTGAACTGCTAAGCAGTACACACGTCTTTTGATCAATAACCAGCCGGATATCATGTCTCTCCTGGAGATGACGTATTTTAGCAAATGTCACATGTACCTTTTGTGTCGATGCTGAGATTTCGTCAGGGATCAACCCGCTGCCGTTGGCTGATGCAACCTCCCAAATTAATGGAGTAGTCAATACGCTCCACCAACCACTTCACTCCCTCCCTATCTTTAAACTAGGAATGAGTCGGTGTATTCCATTCCTGTAGACATCATCTTGCATTTCACAGGAGCGGGTGAATCGCATGTCAAACATTTGAAGATTTTTGATCAGATTGTGTGTTGCGAAGACTCTGAGGATATCATCGAAACATCGAAACGACGAGGTGGTGACACATCAACAAAGCTCGAGCATTTCTGTCCAGCACATAATCATCAATCAAGAGGGAAATGGAGAAATTAATGTCTGAAAAAGCACCACATCAGTGGTGATTATGAAAAAAAAAGAGAGAATCACAATCGTCAGTATTACACAGACAAAAAAAGAGGAAAGGGCAAACAGAAAGAGGGAGGGAGCTAGGGAGAGAGAGAGAATATTAATACAGGCCACATATGAATAGTAACTTCTTGCCTCCTCACTGTAGGATTCGATCTTTTTCTTCTTGTCGGTCATAACCACTGTTGTTGTTGCTATGCGTCGAAAAGATGGAAATCTTATGCATAAGACTTTTTGTTTTATTAGAAGAAAATCAAAAAAACAGAAAATTTCCTGCTGTGTTCATAGCCTCATAAAACTCCACTCCACTCCAATCCATCCGCTCTGTATGTGCGTGTATGTCTACGAGATGGGTGTTTTTTTCATTTTTCGTCTTGTAAATTCCTTCTTGTATGTTGTGTTGTACATACCATACTTGTGTGTTATATATATATTTTTTCCTTATTGTCCAATTAACGTTTTGAATTCTATTGATTTTTTTTACTTGTACTGTTTGTTTCAATGGTTTCAATAGGGATGACTACTTGTGCGCTACACATGTGTGTGTATTTAATGTATATCTATATAATTCTAGGGTTTCTAACACACCCTTTTATATATATATATAAACCAATACACCTCAGAAATGGTGTATGCAGAATTTTCTATTTTTGGTATTTTGGTTTCGTTAACTAAATAATAATGGATTGGTACACAGTTGGTAGCTGGGTTAGTTAGTTATGTAGTTAGTGGACTGCGATATACACGAAAGTAACTGATGGAATTCTCATCTGATGAGACAGCATAGACATCAAGTTTGATCACGGATTCATATCAGTTATTTTCTATAGTTTGGTTTGTAAGGATTAGTTATGTTTTACGAGTTGATCACGGACTGATATCAGTTAGAGAACCATTGAAAACCAGGGAGTACTGGACAGCTGCTGTTTCATCCTAGTTTGGGAATCATCGGCAGTACGCACCCACCACCATGGTTCGAACCCAGGACCTTCCGGTTACAAGGCAAGCTCGTATACCATTCAGCCACTGGGACCCGATTCAACGCTTAGGAGAGACCCAACTGAGACATTGAAACTAACCTCTATTGGATAGCATTGGTGACGACGACTTCTTGCTGCGTTGCAAGGCTGTGAAGTTATATCGATTGAGATGGTTAGGACATGTGTTACGCATACATCCCTAGCCATCGATCGCCTTCCTCGACAGGGAATGTTAGCTGACTGACATAGGATCAGGTTAGAAAAGGAAGAGCCAGCTAGTGGTGGTGAAACCAATATATATGGCTTCATCAGTCAATGAAATCCACAACAGTTAGTTTAAGCCACGTAGGGCAGTGTAGACTGGCTGACTTCCTGATTGGGGTCCTCGGGACGGTAAAACTAATGAAGGCTGGAGACAATCCTCGTTGTCAATGTCTGGCGCAGATGCATCCACTCCTTGTGACTTATAATATCCAATAAAACTCTATTGTTGTTCTTCCATATTACTATTCTTTTTGCCTCACTCACACTTCTGTTTATTATCTCTCTTATGTTGAATCTTTCTCTACTCTCTTCTCTTGCTTTGTGTGCTACATGGAGGGAGAGTGGCACATCTGTGGAAAGTTCTACGTTGAAACCAGTCAGCTGCGTTGGTAGTGCTAAAACTCATGAATTTATAGAAGTTAGAATTAATGAAGATGGACCCCATTGAATTCCGTTCCAGTTGATGGGAATGGTCAATGAGTTTGCTATGTGTAACCTGAAGGTGGTTGGGTTCGATTCCTGACTCTGCTGGAATATATATATGGTTGCTATTAGATGGTTGGAGGCAATCGGCAGGAAGCCTTGTCTGACCTAGATTTCATCCTAGCTGGCACTCAACAGTCAGTTAGGCGTATCTGCAATCACTTCGAAGGAACTTATGTCCTTTCTTATATTCGAACCCGTATCACCCAGTGAATGCTTCAGTCAGAGACTTCACCACTGAGCTATTCGGGCTCGCATCTCTGACTGCAACACTGAGTAGTAACATCATGGGTTGGAATCTCAGAAGCAACACGAGTTCCTTCAAGATTGCAGATACGCCTAGTTTGATGAAACACTTCAGTAGTACTCACCCATGACCACAGCGTCAGGAGTAAAACTCAGGAGCCTTATCAGGCTAAAAACTCAGTTCGATGATCAATCGGCCATCGGGACGGTATTCAAATACCCTATGGATTCTATCTTCTATGATTTTCCATTGTGGATAAAATTTTATTTTGATGTTTATAAACTCACTAGTAAAGGGAATAAAATTCACATATGAATTGGAAAATGAACAAGGAGAATTAGCTATGGTGTTAGATTGTAAAATCAAACGAACAGAAGAAGAAGAAGGTAGACTGCACACTAGTGTTTATAAAAAGCCAACGCATTCTGCTAATAGATATTTAGACTTGAATTCATCTCATCTGTCGTTGTCTGTAAAGGCAGGCTTAGTTAAGTGTCTGACAAACCGAGCAGCAGCACCAAGTAGTACAAGAAAAGACCTAAACGATGAAATGAAAACAGATAGAAGAGGTGTTGGTGTTCAATAACTATCCTATAAAATTCATAAGGAAGATCAGTAAAGGCCAAAAGCAAAATAAAAATAGTGGGGAAACTAATAATGATAACATAAATAAGAAAGAATATAAGGTATCTACAGTTTTACCATATAAGTAGGGGATATTTGAAACCCTACGTAGGATTCTTAATAAAGCAGGAATTAAGGAAGTATTTAAACCTACAAACTCACTCAGATAGAACAAGCTCTGTAGGTTAAAGGACCCTATAAGTTGACCCAATTAGACAAAATAATATAATTTACAAAATACCTTGCAATGACTGTAAGGTCAACTACATAGGTCAAACTAGTAGGTCGGGGTAGTCAGATTGTCAGAACATAAGAATTTAGCTAAGGTAAGAATGGTTGACCCCGAGAAGATAAGTAATTTAGAAAAAAACTCAGCAATTGCACTGCATGCATTAACACACAACCACACAATAGAGTGTGTGGGACAGAGTCAGAATTCTAAAAAGTAATGTAGGTAGGTGGAGAGAGAGAGAGAGTTGATCACTGAATCCTGTTTCATCGAGTCTTCACCCAACACATGCGATAGAAGTGACTCAACGCAAATAACAGAGATATGGAAGATATTATTACCACCAGTCAGTCAAATCAGAGGAGGATAATAAATAATCTTAAAATTCTATTTCAATTCAAACACATCATAACATTCTAACAAGTTACTTATTTTGACTATAAAAACACTCGTCTTATTTCCTATCTGATTGTATTTGATTGATAACACTCATATTATTATTTTCGAATGTACTTTATCATTTTATATTGATTTTATTCACATGTCTAGTCATCAATTTTTACTCATGTATATAAATGAAGCAAGAAAGTTGTGTGAGTAGTGCCTTGATATGATTATGAGTGGCAATAATTTGTGTTCGAAACGTGGTCATCAGTAAATATTACTGTACAATATAACACTGTGTGATATTTATCAAAATAAAAATTTTATCCATAATGGAGTTATGTGCGTCGGTGGCACAGCGGTTAGGACTCTCACCGACCATGCACATGGTCCGGGGTTCGATCCCCTGCCGACGCACACCTGATATCAATGATCGGCCTGCAAAATTTGGGCTACCGATATCACATGCTGAAAATCCCATACTTGTACCGAAAATACTGTGTGGAATCAAGCTATAATCAAATTTATAATCTACCACCACCACAGTGGCCAAGTTTTATCCTTATATCACTGATAGAGATAATGTGAATGTTAAGAAATAAAAATTCACTGGGTTTTTTTTTTAATTGTCTTTTTCTCCTCTTTTCAATTTCATTCAAATAAAAACAGCATCTTTCAAAACCAATCAATTCAAACAAATCATTAATGGATGCCAGAAATCTGTCTACAGTCATAGCACCGAATTTAATGCGTTCATCATCTAACCATAGTCAAGATCCACGTGAACTGCTGCAAAATGTTCGACCACAGACATTATTCATTCGTTTATTGATTAGTTATCTGGATGTTGAGGCTGAAGTGAAGTATTTAAAACAAGAGGAGGAAGCTGCTGCTGAGGCAGAAGCACAAGCAGAAGAACAGAGAGATGAAGGAGCCAGTGGTGTAGACGGAGGTGGAGTCGGCGGTATTATTAATGGAAATGGTAATGAGAAGATAATAAAGAACAAGAATATCCTGGAAGATAAAGCAGCCTCTGAAGGACGACGACCTCTTCCAGGTGGAAATCACACTAGTCATCATGATAAGTTGTCGTCAACATCCTCGAATGGTGGTTATGTGTATTTATCAGCACCGGTACGTGTTAAACTCGGTCCAAATAACGCCTTCATACCGCTGTAATAATAATAATAAAGCAATAATCTGGCGACGTTAATGCATTGTGCCGACTTGCCTTTCTCTTATAGCCACATGTTTATATATATTTGTACTCATATCTTTTGTATTTATTGATTATCGATCTATATCTCTCTCTCTACCTGTTGTTAATTGGTGGGGGTGCAATGATCACCATTCAGGTTAGACAAGATTTTCTAATGTGATTTTCCACATATTCTCTGGATATCCTCCTGTTTCTTCTTTTTTTATTGTTTTGAGACTCTGCAGAAACAGGCAAATCAAAAGCTTGACGAACTTGATCTTTCGCATACCTACCTGATGATAATTTATTCTCTTTCCCGTCTGCTTTTGATGTTTTAATGTGTTATGCTTGAGAGTTTATGACAACAAACTGACTGACTTCAGATTGGGCAGTTGAACTGCAAGTCTCTGTGTAAATCCAAAGAATTTGAAATCTTATCCATCCTTTTTGTCCATTCCTTCAACCCTCCCTCGTCGCCTTTTTTTGCCGTTATATAGCTGTTTTCTTTTTTGTAATAAACGTAATTATTCATTAACAACAGCGAAGCATTTCAATTATTATAAATTTATCGTGATTCTCTGAATGGTACTCATTCAAATTTCGTCCTTTTTTTTCTTATTACTGATTCTTATTTGGAAGGTGTGTGTATATTTAACTTGGTTTCCTCTTCTTTCTCTATGGATAAACTGGGGTTGGAGGGGGGCTGGGCTAAAGTACCTACCTACCTACCTCTCTACATTGAGTTTATTTATTTGTGTTGTGCAGAGTTAAATCTCTACAGCAATTTATTCATGTCTTTCTATTCCTAAAATAAGGCTGGAAATTCAACGACACAGAAACACATATATATGTCGCCTTAGCCTTCATTGTGTCAATCGCTGCCCACATACCTTTTCACCCAGCCAAGCCAGCCGGCTGGCCAGTCAGTCAATCGGCCTCTTACACGTAATAACCTTGTATTGTATCAGTTTGTGGGTATATATGTGTGTCATTTAAGCTTTTACTTAGACGACTCCAGTTGCAATATCTTTTTTTTTGTCCACAATGATTACGTGCATACTCCTACTTTTATTAATTTAAAATTGTGCAAAAGCCGCCTGCTGACATTTTCACGAGATTGATATGACTGTACTTATTACTTGTCTTTCTTGTCCTTTCTTTTGATATATTTATGCTTTATTAAAAAAAAACAATTGCAATCACTGTTTGTTTTTTTTTACAAAATTAGCATTTTTCTCATTTTATTCATTCATATGTTGTGAGAGGAGGTGTACATATTTTAATTAGTAGAACAAAATTTCAGGTTTGCCTTTTTTATAAACTACTTATAACCCGATATAAGTAGATTGATTTTTACTCGAGAAAAAAAACTGGGGGTGAAATCATCTAAACGCCTTGCCCTTCTTTTTTATTTCATTTCACAGTGAAGTAACTTTTTTTTAATGTACAGAAAAGTGTTCTCTTCCAAGAAGTCCTCTTCACCATCATCGCCACCCCCACCACCACCACCAGCAGATACACATACGTACTTACATACAGTTCGCTTTCTTATCAGTATAATTGTAAATAATATTCGTCATTACATCAAGTTGTGACTACTCCTTTCTCTGTGAGACACTGGCAGTGTAATACACCTTTGTGTGTGTGGCGGGGGGGAGGAGGCGATTTCTTCTTTTTATTCTGGACTCCAATACGTACGTGTTTATTTGTGTGAATGTACGTATACCTTGTCCCGTGGTCTGTCCGTATGCTAAACATTCATCAATGCCTATAATCCATATATATCCTCTAATTATATACTTTATATATATGCATATATGATTTTATATGATTTCTATTGAGTAGTTGTCAATGATGAGTGATTGGTGGTTGATTGAGTTATTTGTTTATCTATAGTAGAATTCTTTTCAATTTGTACTATTATTATTATTATTACTATTTATTACTATTATTATAATACTTGTATTGTACTTATTATTTATCTGGGGTATATTATGCACTATTTGTGTGTGTGTTTGTGTGTCTATGCATGCATATAACCTTTTTGAGCACATTTATAGGTCTTATCATATGAACTGTTTTTGTTTTCTATCACTACTCACTTCTACTCACTTTCACATGAATTTTCCTCGTTCCCTCAGTCTCTCTCTCTCTCCGTCTCCTGTTCCCTTTGTCTTTGTTAATTATGCTTCTCTGACGATCGAAAAACAAATATGATATATAAATAAATACATTTATACTTATTTACGTAAAGTTATTATTATGCCGTCTTAAAATCTAATATAATAGAGTGGCGGGAGAGATTGATAAGGCAAGGTTTATTTATCGAATCAACTGAGAAATACGTGTAATAGGAATGATTCAACACCTGTCCCAGACGGATGTCTGCAAAATTCTACTACCCCAATGACGATGACAAATAGGAGAGGACAAAGAAAACTATAAGACTCAGATTTCGAAGTCGTGTGATTATAATTGGTGACATGATGATGAACAACAATGAATTGTGTTTGAAACTTTGTCATCCAGTAAATAATAATAATGTTTCACTGACTGTGTGATACATCTAATAAACAAACTTATATGGAATTATAAGATTTGATAGTGTGGAAAATTCCTATATTATGAATTAAAAGTCAATCTGAACGAAGAATATTCTTTTCAATAATTTCTCTTCAGGTTCTTACAATTATAAAACAATTATAATATTTGTTGTCGTTACAATAAAGGCCAGCTATGCGGCAGATACATTTTTAACGTAGAAAAACAGATTAGTTATGGGGTGTCAAAATTAATAGTCGTATTTGTGTGACAAACGTGCTAGGCTGAAATCGATTACAAAATATTTCGGTGAAATGGGAGACAATGGTGGTGATTAATCATAATAGATTTGTAGAGTGTGGGGTAGGAAAACTGACAAGTCAGTTCAAGGTTATAAAAGGTGTCAGGTGAGTGGAGTGGCTAGTACAAAGTGGTCTGTGTTAAACAGGAGATAATAAGACTGCAATGGGAGGTTCATAATGAGATAAAGAATATGTGAAATGAAACAGGTGGAGGCATATATTGAGAAAAGAGATAAAATTACTAATAATAAGTCCGGATAGTATAAACGAAAAATTCGATAGTATTGAGAGATTGTTTGCATGAAGGGCATAAATTATGACGAATAATAATAATTGTAATAATAATATTTGTAATAATAAGCAAAGGAAAAGAAAAGCCAAGAGGGTTAAGGGGAATTATTATTATTATACCGTCTTGATTCTTGTCTCGATTTCTTGTGATGAACAGTATAGAGACATTTAATGCAAGATCTTTGAGTTCTGATCAAACACCCGCGTACTTGTCGTATACAGTTATATAGAATCGAGGTGATCATAATAATAATAGTAGTGTAACAACAGAAGACAAGGGCCAGTCAACAGATCGTTTATTGAGAAAATCAACAGATATTTATAAATTTGTATGTACATTACTATTAGCGTTATTGTTAGCAGAGAAGCGACGTCTTGTGATTGGTTGTTTTCCTGCTGAAGGCTATTCTGTCATCTCTTTGTGGCTGTTTCTCAGAAAGTTAAGCTATTTTTCTGCGAATCGTATTTGCACACGTTAAGTCTGCTGTGATTGGTTTTTGAGTTCCTTAAGGTTAGGCTTTGTTATTGTATTTTCTCATGCCCCCGAATTGGGACGTAACATTGACGTAGATTATTGTCTACAGCTTTTGGCTTGCAGAGGCAGCTCTCACCAAAGTAGAAACAGCAATGATAAATTCATTCAATTGTGTTTATATAATCTAGGTAACAGTGAGTGTATTAGGTAGAATGTGTAAACTATTAGGGATAGAGAAGAAAGTAACTATTGTCACATAGCTAAGTTCACTTTTAACAATTTGAAAACATTTGAGCACTGAGTATATGATATTCATTAATATGAAAGTTCTTTTTGTATTTCTCAATAAATGGAAAACAAAACGATACTGTTCTGAATGACGCTTCGCTAGAATTTACAAAATCTCAGCTTATATTTAACACGTCATCGTTCATCAGTAGGGGGTAATTTTTACGTTATCAAGTTGGCCAATTGGTAAAGATAATAAAACCAGGTGTAGATTGTTGGATTTCATAAGTGTATAAAATTATAAAAGCAGCATGTATTTACATGATGAAAATGTTTATCACATTCGTGTTGATTTCATCATTTCATAGGGAGGGGGAGTGTTGTAACCAGGTCAAATTCTGTTTAAGCCCATCATTCCTATTCAGTTCAAACAATTTGGATTCAATTTGATATGAAGTGCTTCTGATATTAGACTTTCTTGTGATTTCTGAAATTTTTCTGAATTATTTCAATATTGTTTAAATCAATTTTGTGACCTGATTCTATAGCTGATGATTTTTCAAGCTTTTCTAGTTCAGCTGGATACTTTGGTGGTCGAACAGAGGCGTCTCTACGGTGCTCATTTCTTCTGATTACCTTGATTTCTCCATGGTGATTTTTGTCCGATGTAAGAGTCACATAGCGATTAGATAATATAATAATAATGATAAATTTCGAAACCGAGTGTACAACTACAGCACAGCATGCCATTGACAATAAAGTTAGCATTACAAATAAAATATTAAGATAATATTTACAGTTATCCGGTATCAGAGGGAGAGATAACAATTTTTGAATTAGGGCGAAGACCAAGGGAGGAAGAGGGATTGAACAAACTTTTTCCGAACATAGAGACTAGATTGAAAAATCTTTATGGCAACTGCCTCAGCTATGCTTAGCAAACAAAAAAAAGGCGTAGCCAACCTAGGGAGTTGAGCTAGCAGCTTGTGTAGAATTGTGAAAAGGTGAATATTTGACAGTCTTGTGCCTCGTATCCAACACTAGGTGTGTCAGTATGGAACTTCTGATTGGCTTTAAGACTCCTTTGCCTAACTATGGTGGACAATACCGCAGAAGACGACGGTGAGCTTTCTGAATCGTTCTACATGTGTAACTGTCTCCAAACAAACATTTAAATTTATAACTACACACTGAGTTGGCCAGACTCCGCAGCTTATCCTTCACTTACGTTGGCTTTGTATAACAAGTGGCGAATTTTAAACGCAATGCTGCTGCAGAGAATGTTTTAACTATTATCTTGCGAAGTTTCGATGCCAGTAATTCAGTTACTGCGTCTCCTTTAAACGGTAAAGTCATGTATATGCGTTTCTTCTGCGTAGTTTGCAGGCATTTCTTTCCATCTGTTCTCATATAAAAAGTTTCCTAATTTCATCGTCTAGAGTGTAGGTTATATAGAAGGCGAGATAGCATGGATAATCATTACAATACAGGTCAAAGTCACAAATAATGGGTATGCAGATGACATAAGGGTGTGCGTTAGAAGGGGAGAAAAAACACAGAAGGGATGGGGTGAAAATATCATTAAGTAAATTGAACCTTGGTTCTAAATTGGATTACCAAGGCAGGTTTACAGTAATAACTAATAACTTTTGAACACATAAGACAGGTTTAAGTCTTTTTATGACCAAGGCTTCAACCAGTTTAAGTGTGTGTTTTATATGTGGATTTAAAGGCATTATTGAAACCAACCTTGTAACCCGTCTCTACAATGTGCTTCGCCATAGATGATGTTGGAGACATCTATTTCCGGGACCAATTGTATCTGGCGATTTTATTTGTTGTTGCAGCCACTTTGGAATGTGTTCTGTAGCCCTAACCTGCAGAAACCTATGGATCCTCCCTATATACATGTGCCCACACATACATGTAAATTAATAAACACAATAGGATGTGACACTATCGTTTGGATGCTGTGATCTCGTTTTCTCCATGAAGATAAGTTTAGCTGCGTAGCAAGTTCTATTAATTGCCTCACTGAGTCTTTGTTTAATGATCACACTTTGTTGATCACTCCTGAACGACAAGGATACAGAAACATCCTTTTTGGGAGCTGATTGGATCGGTAGATCCCTTTGTTTGATACTTCTGTAAGGCTTAATGAATTTCAACGGATAGTTTTTATCTATCAGTATTTAAGTGAGATATTGTGTTTCTTCTTCAGTTGTGTCGGCAGTACATATACGGTGAATGCGTTTGAACGCACACTTCACCAATGCCTTTTATACTGTAGTGGACATAAACTATGATAATTTAGATACTATCCCTTCCATATGGACTTCCTGTAAACAGATCGTTTTATTGACCCATCTTGTCGGTGAATAATGAGTACATCCAATGGAAAGTAACCAGTTTTGTGCGTGGTTGAAAAAAAACACTGATCCACGGACTGACTGAATGGCATCATTGAGAGAACCATCGAGATATAGCAAGCAGGATAGTGTTGGACAACTGTTTTGTCCAATTTGTGAACAAAACAGCTCATCTGTACGCACCTACTCAAGTTTGAACCTAACACCTTCTGGTCTCACCATTCAACCACTGGGACCCAATAAAGTGGCCCATTAATTCTAACTTCTACCAATTCGTGATGTATATGGCGTGACTACCAGCCAACGTCATTGATGAGTATTTTTTCCTCAAGCCCGACTTGATGGATCCCACTTATCACGACTTCTCACGAGCACTCTAGGCGACTTCGTCCTGTAGTTTAGTCGGTCACTAGCCACCATCAAATTAATTTTCAAGGGTTAGTTTCTAGATCCTGCGTTCGAACTCCCTCGGGTACATACTCCTGAAGAGTGCCGAACTAGGTCGAAAGGACTGTTCAATACTTCTTTCTTTTCTCTAATTAACACGAATCCCTGTTGAAACGTGAAGCAAATACCTACAAAATAACTCTTGGAAAAAGAATAATTAATCGATTCACATGGTCGGTAGGACAGTGGCAAAGTACTCACCAACTACGCATGTGGTCCAGAGTTCGATTCCTGGTCAGCTCATCTTCGCCTCGTTTACTAGCTGGGAGTAAATCTGGCTAAGAAGTAAAGTAGAGCGGGAGACTAGGGGTTACCCTCACCTCGTCAAAACAAAATCGTTACCGAAGGGCAAGTACTTACCACTGATGTTCTGTGTTTGGTACTCTGTACAAAATTTTTCATGATTTGGAATTATTAGTCATTGAATTACAGTCCAGCATGCAATGGTGTGCGCACACTTCTGACAACATATAAATATCACTAAAGAACTATCTGTTATCCTCTATTTTGAACTATTTCGCGACTAATGTTGAGTTGTCATGATAAATAACTCTTAAACCAATCATTTCCTCGCAAATTACCTGATTGATAC